TTCATAAGATTAACGACGGATGAAAGTAGTTTTTACGGTTTTTACAAATTGGAGTGTTTTCATTTGATCGCTCCTCTATATATATATAAATTAAAATTAATATGTATACACATATCGGGCCGGGTCGGGCCGATGATCACCGTCCCCGTCCCTGTCCCCGTTAAAATCCCCGAATTTGTCCCTAATCCTCTCCCCATCCCCGATAAGATGTCTCCGAACCCGGCCCAAAGTTTCGATTTTGGGTTTTTTTGCCATCCCTAGGATTAGGTAGCACGAAAAGTCGCATCCGCTCCTGGTCGGTTATGACGAGAACATATATACACCAGATATTCTGGGACAAAATTTCTCTCAATTCCCTCTTAATTTTCTAGGTCGTCTTTTACTTTTTCCACAAAATTCCATCACGAAACATAGCTTGATTCGCTAGATTATCAATCTTTTTATTAAAGTATGAATCTACCCTATCAAGTAGATTTTCGGTTGATTTCTACTAATTGTATATTGTTTATATTATCAATCTGATACAGGAATTTCGATTTTCTGTATTTTCTTTATTCATATATACACATACTTTAATCACGTGATTGACTACTCCTCAAAGTTATTACAGTAAACTACAAATTAGTCTCTGTGGTTTGTCAGAAATAACACTCTTCATCCCTAGATTTTCGAAATTATAAGATGACCATCGTGATTTGCAAAAACGTTCAGATTGGGTCTCTCCCTCTTATGCATGCTAAAAAAATCTATTGAATGTGATAGATATTTGTTCTTTTATTTATTTTTTATCTTTTACCCGATCAAAATCAATTTTATGATTTTGGTTTCTGGTTTTTATTGGGTTAAAAAACAAAAAAAAAATCGATAAAAGAACGAAAATGTCTCTCATTTAACGGAATTTTTAACAACCGTTTGAGGGAGGAACCAAATCCGGACATTTTACACACCATGATGGCCATCTTATAATTTCAAAACTGAAAGGATGAAAAGTGTTATTTTTGACAAACCACAAGGACCAAAGTTATAGTCTACTCTTGTTATTACTTATTAGTATGATAATTTAATTTTTTAGAGGTAAATTACATATTTGGTCCATGTGCTTTACACATTCTACATACAGTGGTCCTAAAATTAAAATAAATACAAATATAGGCCTCGTGGTTTCCATTTTCACACGCCTCAGGACTCATGGTTTACATTTTCGCACGTTCCAAGTCCCTCCCACTAATGAAATAAAAAACAATATGTTAACCAATTAAATAAGGGGGTATTTTAGTTTTTTTATTCTTAATTTTGTCTTTATTCTATTTTATCTTTTTTGTATATACACACACATCTATATATATATATATATATATATATATATACACACACACACCTGCATATATAAACATACACACACACGACTGTATATATAAACCACTGAAGAAGGGGCGATGGAGGAGGTGCTGGTGAAGCCCACCAACACCCCTCCTCCTATGAGATTCTCTCTCCATCCTCATCATCCCTGTCAAAATCACCCCTCCACTTGATTCGTTTTTCCCAAATTACTGCCATACAATAGGGACATCACCTTCCTCCCGGTCGACCACCATCTCCATCTTCATCTTAAACCTTCATCTGCATCCCTTGTTTCTTACAGTGAATGAACTTTGACCTAAGAATGGATATGTAACAAAACTTAATTTTCAAACACAACTTCTCGATTAAGAATTTTTAGACAATACATCAAGAGAGGGGGAGGGGTTGGATGGGGTTACAAGTTTTGATTTTAGATGTCCACTCTGTTTTTTTGATCGTGGTTGGAGAAGGGGGAGGGGTGTAGTTAGGTTGCTAGTGGTGGTTTAAGAGAGGGGAAGGTTGCATCTTGGAGAAAATGAAGGATATAACATAGGGCCGATGGACGATGAAAGATGGTGGAGAGGGGAAGATTAATGAAGGGGATGGGAGCTTGGCCGACAAATCGAGGGTGTGAGGAGGGGTGTTTGCTGACAATGTTGGAAATTTGTTGGTTGGAAGTTAACCTTCCATCCCACATTGGTAGAGAGTTTTATTTCTAGAGAAGCTTATAAGGCTTTCTTTAGTAGTGAGCTTTAAACATGTTAGTGGACTCATGGTGGGGGGTCTTGAGTGGAAGAACCAACACACACGCGCGCGTGGCCGTGGCCGAGGCCGCGGGATTCGCGAAGGTGGCGCGAGTAGGCGCACTTTGCACCACGCCGCGTCGGAGCAGAAGGAGCCTCGCCCCGAGCTCCGAGTAATTTTTTTACTAGAGATTTCGTCAGGAGGATTATCATTAATCTGATTTTAATTTTAATTTTAATTTGAAATAAATCGGTTTTGAGATAATTATTAATTTTAATATTTTGAGATAATTATTAATTTTTAATAATTAATTAATCCGATTTTTATTTTTATTTTTTTTAATTTGAATTAATTTGTTTTTGACTTGGTTTAGGGTTGAGAATTTTTCTCCCCTATCCCGGTTTTTTGGAGAGGTCCGTGGGCTTTTCTCGTGGGCTAGAACTAGGGTTTCACCCAGTATAAATACTAGGTGAAGCCGTATCTATTTTGATATAAAAAAATTATTCTTCCTCTGACGAAATTCTGCTCCCTTCTCCTATTTCTCTCTACCGGTTTTGCTACAAAAACCTGCTCTATATTCTTTGTGATAGCTGTTCACAAACGAATAATTTACTGCATCAAATCCTAGGGATTTGCG